TCTATCATAAAGAACCATGAGGATGTAATCTAATGCAGCTGTGCGTTTCTGAGTCAGCAACACAAATAAATGGTCTGAGCCACTTCCGGCGATGAAAAGAAATAACTGGGGGAAAAGACGCTCCTTTTATCTTCCACGGGGTCAGGAGAAGGAAGTGACTTACTGTCTTTAGGGGCAACGGGGCTGGACGTTCCACCCGCCGAGGTCCTTCCCACTGGGCTGGAATGCTTGGCCCCGCGCCCAGGGATTTTCAGTCCACTGGACTTGAGCATGTTCATTCTACGTTAGCAGGGAGACCTGAGAGTTCCTCCTCCCTGGGCGATGAAGGCTTTTGGATCAGGCACTAGATGTGAGAGTGGTGGCTGTCACTCTCCATGTTTTAGCTGTGGGGATGACAAATATATGGGATAAATACAGGAACGGCTGACAGCACGACAGCTAAACAAACACAGTGTGACATCAGACGTCCAACCCTGAGTGAATGGACCAGATTGTTGAAGCAGAACAAATAGAAACTGGTTTGACAACAAGTTTATCAGGAACACCTCTGCAATTTAATGCCCTCACACAGCACAGGGAAGCTGCTTTATACCAACAATTAAGTTTTGCGCACACTGATTTTTGTTGTTTTTGGCCAAGCGGTCATAATTCTACTTGACCTTTATTTCTGAGGTCATAGTGGGTGTTATTGTTGTACTGCTCTCCAACACACTGCATGCAAAACACTGGCTCAGTGCAGAAACACAGGGATGGAAAGAGATCAGAAATTTCCTTTTTTGCATCTTCTTCTTCTTTTTGTGTCCCTACAATCCACTGAAAATCGAACAATCTGAAAAGCAAAGATCACTTCTGGGTTTGGACTACTTGTGCCCACACAAAGCCATAACCTAACAATCCATCTATCATTTCTCTTAACTGCTCATCCAACTTACAGCCCCGGGAGGCTGGAGCCAATCCCAGCTCACACAGGGTGAAAATCTAACCTAACAGCTTCTCCAACTTACCAAAAACCTTAGTGCCTAAATGTGATTTTCTTTTATGCAGCTTCCATCTATATATGTGGTCTTCCTTCCTCCTCAGGAGTCACACTGGGAGTTGATGACTTTTAAGAATCTAAAGAACTGGTAGTAGTTATAAATAATAAATGGATAGCGTTTATTAATACACGCCCGGAGACAGCAGCTCTCAGGTTGACACACTGATGTCAGCTGATGGCAGATTTTAGGCCTTGTGGGTGTTTTTGTTTATCAAGACATTTTCCTTTATATCAGTGGTTCTCAGTGTGGGAATTCTGTGATCCCAGAAGTCCATAGTCAAAAGGCCCACAAAATAATTTGCTATAAATCATAAAACTGCTGTATCACTTCAAAAGTGTACATCTGTAAATGTGGATTATTTATGTCAATTCAAAAAAAATACGACTGCGACATATGATGTTACTCTCTAATAAAATTATTCACTTCACTCAGAGTGCAACGAACCATTCCTTAAGTATTTAGGTCAGAAATTTTTAGAATAAGATCTTAATTGCATCTCTGAGTACAAATGATGGTAAGGAACTGCACGCCGGACCGGACCACTGACACATCATACCTCTCTGGATTGACCCATTTTTTCCACAATGGGTGAAACGGTACTTTATTTTACACAGCTGTGACTGAAAACACCTGAATTCAAAGATGAAGAGGTGTGGCCCAACACGTCTGTTCATATAGTGTTTCCAAAGCTTATTAGTACCATGTCGTCATTCTTATTGCATGCCTTTATAATTACTTAGACTTTCTCCACCTCCTTATGCATATATTATGGGTGCAATTCATTGGCCAAATAAAAAGACAAATATTAAGTTTAATAATCATTTGAGTTCATTTTTGGAGATATGACAAAGATATTGATATAAAATTATGTAAATAAAATCCGGTATTGTGTCAGCCTTATTATGTCATAAGAGAGAGGCATTGCACTCAAAGAAACCTGGACTGCAATAGTAAATATGTTAGAAGTTACACTTCCAATTAAAAAAAAGCTTCTTTAAAATATGTTTAGAGCAACTTTTTAAGAGTTTGTTTAGCTGGTGAGTCAGCACGTGTATTTTTGTGCATTTTAAGAAGGGTAGACCTGCTTCTCCGACTCTAACCAGAGCACAATGCTTTATTTTTCCAATTTGGCAATGTGGGATTCTTCTTTGATTAACAACAGCAGAAAAAACACTGAAAGAGACTGAAATGCAAGTGTTCCACTGTTATTACTCATGCTACACTACTGCTGGGGTGCCACTGAGCAAGACATGATTAATCATGAGCCAAACACTGAAGCAGCACTGAGAGAACTTCCACAAGCATCGTGTTTTTGTCGATCTGTTGAACTATTTGGCACCTGCATAGCAATCCACACACATTTACATGTGTCACGGTAAATTACTGTCATCTACGCCCCACTGCTTCATACAACCATCCATGATCAACTTAGCAGTTTCAGCAGAGTCATAATAAGAGTGAAAACCAATGCAGGCCTTTGCCCAAGTAGAACATGGCCTACAAATCATGGCCCAGAGCCCATTAAGAAAATATAATGCCGTTATAGCCTACAATAAACAACACACATCTGGTTGAGGCTTTTAAACTAGACACTGGTTATTAGGAGGGACGGGGAGCACATTCCAGGCGTTGCCTAATCATTCTCCATTTTATTTACACTCATCCAGATAATAAAAAAAATGGAGAGGATATTCATTTTTGGATCAATCAGAGCAAACCAGCCGGGGATGATGGTTTTGATCTGAGTGGAGACACAAATAAAGGCCTCTGTCTGTGATTTTTCCTCAGCTCTTCCACATTAAAGCACAGATTAATTTCCCAATCCACACCTTGATTTCAGTGCAAACAGGAGGGCAGCAATGTGCTGATAATGCGCACCTCAACAAAATCTAACACAACGCCGGTTTGATCCATTGTTGTAGCTACTGCGGCAACGTGGTCTAGACTGTCCTTCACTTCATACCCCGAGTCCCCTCCCAGGGAGGAAATAAAAGCACAAAATGGCACAAAAGCGCATAAAAATGCAGGAAAATACTCACCATCCTGTGAGAAAATTCAGGGGGTGTCCAACTTTGATTTCCTAGCCACGGGTGGAAAAAGAGGGGATTAGTGGCTGCCACTCCCTGGGATGCAAATATGGATGCTGAGCAGAAACTGAAAGGGAGAGTCAGCGTGGATCACTGGATGGATGGTGGCAACAACTGCACACTGTCAGCAATATACCGGTGATGGGTTAGCATGTAGCCTGCCGGTTCATCTCTAACAGCGTGTTAGCTCAGGCGGCTATACTGGAGCGAAGATAACGGACTTAAATGAGCCGAGCGCTTGCACGCAGGTCCAGACGGTTCCCGGCATTAAACGCAGCATCAGCAACACTCAAAACCAACTTTTTCCGTTTTCTTTCTGCTGTGCCTCTAACTAAAAACGTCATCCGGTGGATGTATTTTTCGGCCTCTTCTTTCTCTTGTCGGTGTTCCCACAGTGATTTGGATATGTTGGGTTAGCACAGCCTTCTTCTGACTGACTCAACCCACCGGCTAGACTGAACAAAGGGGCTGGGAAGGAGAGCCTCCTGGGGGAAAGATGAGTGTAGACCACAGTCTGGCTCAGCCCCGTGACGTACTCCGCTTACAATAATGAAGATTTAAGCTGGCCGGTCCTTATCAGTCTGAAAAGGTGACTCACAAAGCATGAGTCAGGGTTGTTTCCTGTCGTCGGTGCAACTTCTTTGATTCGGCATGAATAATACACAGAAAACAACATTTTTTCGCGCTAAAAATACTAATTTCTGAAGCTGCTTCATGCGTTCAAGCGACTTTCACAAGGTGAATCCATCGCATAGCATTTTGGTAAAAATCACTTTTCTACTCAAATTAAACTATAAAATAAACATTTTTTAGTATGCCGAACCGCAAAGCGATTTATATCGCAACAAATCCATACCCAAACTCACACAAAGCGAACTGAAATTAATCAACCAACACTGATAAACATAAATAATAGAAACTCTAATGTAAGTTTTGAGTCACTGAGCCCAAACACCGGCCGGCTCGGTGTGTAAACAGCCCACGCATGTATACGTGAGACGTTTGAAACACATAAAGTGTATGGAAGAATAATAGGGTCAGGATAACCTTAGGACACACTTTTATTAATTTATTATTTTTGGAAATTGTGGGCGGAGACAAAAAAAAATCTTTACATGGATCGCGCGTGGTTTTCCGGTTGGATTTAGAACGCCCTGATTGGTCTGAGGAGTGAAATGACTTTTCCAAACAGGCTGTGATTGGTCAGCTTGTTTTTGGACTGCCTCGTTTGACAGCTGTCCGCCAAAGAGACCTCTAAAGTTGGATTGCACACTGATCTAATCCGCTCAGGTATTATGTAGTCCCTTTTTCATAAATAAACTGGGGTGTAGATTCAAAAAAAAGATAAGAGGCTCTGACTTTTGGTTATTTTTTTATTTATCTTTTTTTTTATCCATTCATATTTATTTTTATTTTATTTTATTTTTTTTACATTTTGTGTCCCTTTTGAGACTGGGTTTACCTTTTCCAGTTGTTTCAATTGTTTTTTCTTTTTCCTTTTATTTGTATTGTATTATTACTGCTAAAGCTCCCCCTCGGCATATAGGGGGCGCCCTGGGGCGCCTCTGTCAGTGCGCCCCAGGGCAGCTGTGGCTACAATGTAGCTTGCCATTACCAGTGTGTGAATGTGTGTGTGAATGGGTGAATGACTCAATGTGTAAAGCGCTTTGGGGTCCTCAGGGACTAGTAAAGCGCTATACAAATACAGGCCATTTACCATTTACCATATAAGCAACTGAAAACTTTACTGGTTTATCCAGTGCAAAAATAAATTGATTTACACATTAATGACCCTAATTATAACCCAGTAACACAATACAGTTAAAAAAAAAAAGAGCTATTCTACATAATGAGTGCTTTTAGTTAAGCTATTTTGATGATAAAAACTTTACTCTTGTAATGACACTCACTCAAACATTTACATCTGCACCACCAGTGTAAAAGCTGTAGAAGAAATCAAATATCTGGAAAAAATAATGAGGTTAAAAACACATAAATGGTGCTATCAGAACGGACTTTTGAAAACTTCCTGATGCGTTTAGATCCCATCTAGAAAACTTTTAAATAAACTCTTTTTTGTTGGATCGCTGAACTGCTTAGTTAGTTAAAATCCTGTGTTTTGCTGTGCCCCTGATGTTTCTGGATTGTGACTGTGTGGTTCCTCTGCACAGATCACTGGATTATCTTCCCTGGTGTGGTAAGCCTGACCGTGAGTTGAGGGAGAATTACCTTTAAATACTGGATGTGTGGATTCCCTACATCCCTGGACCCCCTAGAGCAGTATTCCCCCTTTGCCTTGTGTCTTTGTATAAATGTATTCTTTCACTGTAAATAAAAAAACGGAACTGGTCTCCTGAGTCCCACATGCCTGTTAGCCATGACAAGGAAGATTTACAAAAGAATTTAAGTAAAAACTTTTCAACCGTTTAACCAAATATCTAATCAGCCAATAACCAGACTCAAAGCTGATAGGCAATAGTAACTCAAATAATCAGTTGTTACAATCAAAGTATGCAGCGCATCAGATGGGCTACAGCAGCAGAAGACCACACCAGGTGCCACTCCTGTTAGCTTTATAAGATTGCTTTTAAAAGTGTTGAAAAAACAGCCCAACAGGACACAAAACATGAACAAAAAAGTGTTTTACAGCACAATTACAATTGCTGGTCAATTTAAATTTATGATCATGAACCATTTATGTTTAACTGTTTTAGCTGAGTGGCTTTCAATACCCTGTATTCATAATTCTTTATAAGGATATATTGGTTTGCTTAATGAAAGAGGGTTGCTTAATATGTACTTGGTGGTCAGCGCAACAAGATGGTCACAGCAAGATGGTCTTGGGTTTGAATCCACCATCTGGCCTTTCTGTGCATATCTGTGTAGATTAACCGTGGGTACTCTGGCTTCCTCCCATGGTGCAAAGACATGCAGTTGGTGGGGTTTAGTTAATCAGTGATTTCTAAATTACCCATAGGTGTTAGTAGTTGTTTTTCTTTCTGTGTTGGTCCTGTAACGCTGTTAATCAGTTACAAACAGGGTTGCCTCTTGTCCTGTAGCAGCTGAAATAGGCCTCTAGCTATATATTTGAATGAAAGTCTACCTGTTTACTGCATTTTCTTCTAGTGACCACTTGAGGGCACCACAACAAACCTTTTGCTCTACAGGAGATCCTGGAAGTTCAGTGAGAAATTAGTGATACTGTGCACTGTTGTTTTTCTTCTAATTGTTTACACAGTAGCATGGTGTTAGCACTGCTGCCTCACAGCAAGACGGTCCTGAGTTCAATTCCACCATCAGGCAGGGTCTTTCTGTGGAGTTTGCATGTTCTCCCTGTGTTTGCGTGGGTTCACTCCGGGTACTCCTGCTTCCTCCTAGAGTCCAAAGACATGCAGTTAGTGGGGATAGGTTAATTGGAAACTTCAAATTGCCCATAGGCCTGAATGTGAGTGCGAATGGTTGTCTGTATTTGTGTGTGACAGACTGGTGACCTGTCCAGGGTGCACCTGGTCTCTGACCCTAAGACAGCTGGGATAGGCTCCAGCCTCCTGCAACCCTGAAAAGGATAACCGGTAGAGATGGATGTTTACACAGGAGACTCCACTGCTGTGTGAACCCTTAAACTACCTTCCCATTAAAATATATGGAACACAGGAGGTACTTTAGCCTGAGGTGGTGCTCAATTACTGTCATTGTGAATTAATGTTTCAGAATAAGGAAACTGTTTGGGCCTCATAAATAAATAAATAAATAAATAAATAAACGTGTTCCTTAAAAACTCAAATTTTGTGACTTGTATTCAGTACCCCACCTGTGGGAGACCACACTTTGGCAACCACTGGTAGGGTATTGCATTAAAAGTGGGCAATTATTAATTAGGTTAAGTTATTTCACATTGCTGGTTTTGACACTTGTTTAATACTTTGAATTCAGAGTTAATATACCAACATTTTCTGTTTAAGTTCAGTTATTTGTCCTGTTTGTAAAGTTTACATTTCTGTGTTTATTTTGTTTTGTCTGTATAGATCCATCTTATTCTACATCCTACTTGTACTTGTGGTTATTCTGAGTCTATTCTTTTAATTTAAGGTTTAACTTTTACTTTCTGTTTTCTAGGTACCCTCCCTCTGTTTAAGCCTTTTGTTTCCTTGGTTAGTTCCTGTTTTACTTTGAAAGGTTATTTCTTTTTTGTCCTGTGTCAGTTTTGTTTCCTGTTTTGTCTTCTCCTGTTTTCACTTGTTGTTGTGTTGTGCACCTATGCACTTATTACTCACCTGCTGGACATGAGACGTGTCAGATAACTCCCAAAATCACTAGACAATGATCAGCCTTTGAGGTGAGGGTTAACTTTCTCATCAATGCCAGTATCACACATTTCACTGATGCCAAAAAAAGTTGCATGTCATAGCAATATTACTGAGTCCACAGTTAGAACAACCGACATCAGCAGCACTGGGAAATGAAATCCCACGAAATAAAGCAAACATTGGCAGATGCCACCAGCAGATACTGGCCGCCATGATTTTCTTCCCACACAAATTACAATAACTGCTGCTTGCAGTGCTTTGCAATAATCAGTTTAAAACTTGGTGAAACGTTTAAAAACTAAACTAAAACTGAGAATCTGATTGGTTGGTTATCACCATCTACTCATCTATGTCATAGTTGTAACATCTTCCACAGACAACATCAACAGAGTTTTCCGCTTCAGAAATTCCCTCTTAAGTGTTTTAATCAATTAAAATGTTAAAATGTAGCTGCCTTCATATACAGGAAAAGGAAATGTATTACTTTGAAAATATCTTTTCAAAATAACTTTGATGGAATTTTCTGCTTTTCTTCCTGAAAAAAGCCCTTCATTTGTACTCTCTAGCTTTCAATTATGACTAGTCTTTTATAGTAATTACTATGTATGTTTACTATTTGATCTCTACTATGTACAGCAATTTAGCTCAACCCATGTTGTTTTTAAATGTGCTTATAAATAAATTTAGATTTTTTTTTATTTGATCTTAACCACTCTCTTTGGTTAAGTTAGTATATTAAGCATGGCAAGTTTAACCTGAGGTTTGGCGCCCTCTTCTGGAGTTAACAGGAAGTTTGTATACTAGTATGCAGACCTTTTATCAGTATACACACCAAATGAACATTAAAAGAGATGTTTGTTGTTATAATTACCTAAAATCTCACAAAGTGCACTTGGTGTAAGCAATTAGAAAAAAGGGTCAAAAGTGTATTTAAAAATGTAACTGAAGCTACATGTGGCATAGCAGCCTATGTTAGGTAACTGAACTAAGCATCTTTCAAAGATTTTTAACCTAAATCTGAACTTACACACTATCAGGTACTTGACTTGGCTTACACGGATGGATCGATGGATGGAAATATGATCGTAGGCAGAGACAGTATAAGAGACGAAACCGCACGCAAAGACAAAACCTTTTAAAAACAATTAAATTCATTCAGTTTCTTCCCAGATGTTTTTATAGGCTGTTTATTTACACAG